GTACACACCGAAATGGCTGCGGGATATGAGCCTGGCACTCGCAGTTGTGTGCAGAATTTGATCCCATTCAGTATTAATGCTATTTAATGCCTCCTTTCCCTTCAAAGCTCCTTTTACTGCCCCATTTGTGACCTCAAACTTGTCTTCATATGCTTTATATCTACTGCAAAGATTTCAACAAAATGGAGATCTCAGAGCTAACTGGAGCCCTCTGCCAGCCAGAGCACACCAACAAAGAGCATGCTTGATTTTACAGTATTTCATGAAAACCAGGGCTACAGTGACTTTCTTCTTATAAAGCCCACATCTTAACACTGTCAGAAAAGGGAGATCCAGCATCTCTGTCCTTTTAAACAACCACTAGCTTTGGGTACAGGAATCAAAAACACCCCTTCTCCCAGGCACCACAACCCAAGCTTTTGCTTGGAAACTCCCAATTCAAGCCATACCAGAATTAATGTTGCTTGGTGACCCCGTGGGTGTGCATTATAGTAGATTTTAATTACATGACCACATGCTGTTCTCCTCATCTGTTTTGCCCAGCAGAAGAGCAAGAACTCTGATATTTCTTTTTAATCAGCATGAATCCTTAGTGGCTCCTGAACCTATTGCTACACTGAGCATGAATTTTTTCCCCTCTTCTCACATCACAGAAGCCATAAGGTGAAGGAATTTTTCTTCACAACATACATGTACAGTCAGGAAAATGCAACTCCAATGCACAGATTTTGAGGCCCAAAAAAAAAAAAAAGGGCCAACATATGCAAAAAGGCAATGATGAAAACATATAAATGAATACACACCCACGTATTCATACACTCTCTCATTTTAGGAGAGGAAGACAGTTCTATAGTAAATGCCTCCCTAAATTGTGCTATGCCTGTCAAACACCAGTAGTTATTTGTTCAGCTTTGAAAAGGAAAAAACTTGACTAACAAATAACTTGTACAGAAGAATCAAACTGGATGCAGATATAAAGAGAAGGCACTAAAGGCTGGGTGGATTTTTAATAAGGCTGGGAAGAGAGAAGTTAATTGCTAAAAGAGCTAAGGTGTGGCTAGAAGAAATGCCTTTAAGAAAAGCAAAGCCTTTTATTTTTATCACAGAAAATGGCAAATCTACAGGCAATAATTAAATATCACCTTGGTAGCAGTACCAAAGAGAAAACCAATTTCCCTCTTACGATAGTACAAGAGTATTCTGACCTTTGAAAGAAATGCAACTGACTTTTCCTTTAATTACCAAATATAACCTTAAGGTTATGCAGTTCTAAAACCCATTTGCTTATTTTACAATTAGCATTTTTTTAAAATTAAAAAATCCCTCCACTTTCTAATAATTTAGAATGTCATACAGAAGTGAATTTCTTATTCTGTTAATTCTTCACAGACATTTGAATTAGAGATGCCACAATGCTGATTTTGCATAGTCCTGTTAAGGCTGGGGAATAGGGCACTCTGGATTGTCTAGCCCCACAGTAAAGGCCTCACAGGTCAGATCTGAAGTCTCTTTCTGATGTTCATCTGGGTTTTGCCATCCCCTTAACACATCTCTTAGATCTTGACAGGATGAGAGGACAGAGCCTCAAGCTGTGCCAGGGGAGGTCCAGGTTGGATATCAGAAATAATTTCTTGGAAATGGTCATTAAACATTGGAATGGACTACCCAGGGAAGTGCTGGAGTTACTATTCCTGGAGGTGTTCAAGAAGCATCTGGACATGGCACTTGGTGCTCTAGCGTAGTTGACAAGGTGGTGATCCGTCAAAAGCTGGATCAAGGATCTTAAAGGCTGTTTCCCACCCAAATGATCCTAGGATTCCATCCTGGAGACCACAGCCAGCTTAGAGGATGCTTCTGCCTTGCTCACCAGCCTTTCCCAGGGAAAAGAGGAGCTGCTGGAGCCACTGGTCCCACTAACTAGCACTCGCTGAGCGTGGTGCAGGCCCCAAGGGCAGGGCGGGAGCAGCCGCTCCTCTGAGGCCTCAGGGACAGCAACAGGGCAAGGAGGAGCCACAAAACACAGAGCTGGCTCCCCAGCTGGCCAAAACAGAGACAATCCAAAAATCAGCATCCAGAGACAAGGAAAATCCTGCCACACCTGCCTGCCTTCTCTAAACTACGTGTCACCTCAGCGCCGTGACACTGACTCCTTCCTCCAATTTGGCAGTTTCAAAAAAAGAAAAAAAAAAGATGTCTCCTCTCCCATTCTGCTCCAGAACAGGCACATAGTAGTTTCTTCTTCCTTCTTCAGATGTCTCATCTCACTCTGGTTTGTGATACAAATTTGATGTGCTAGATCTGCTGCTCCTCAGGTACCACCTCTCTTACACTTCCCTGCAACTCTGGGGAAGGGTCACAGCTCTTGCTCGTGCTGCTCCAGCATCCAGCAGAACAGGGCACTGCGCAGACACTCTGGGTGCAACCTGCCTTCCCCAGCAGCCACAGGACTGGCACTCCTCTCCAGGTTGAGCCATCTGCCTACATGCATAAGGTATCTCAGCTCCCATGACAGTCATTGTAAAATAACATTTTGGTGAAATGTGACTGAAGCTCAACTTGCCTGAACACAGGCAGCCAGTAGAACCTTGCATGTTGCATGTATTCTCCTGGCTGTTTCAGGGCAGTGCCAATGCCTTTACGTCCTCTGTCACTCCTGCCAGCTCTGTGCACACACCTACAGTAATTTAGGGCTTCTCAAATGGTGCATTTATGTTATGCAAAGTGGGTTCCCCCACCCCACAGAGCTCAGCTACAGCCTTTTCAACAGCACTGCAGTGATGGGGATGGGAGTTTAGGAAACCAAACACAGACATCTGCAGACTGTTCTGCCCAGAAAAAGGCATCCCATGCTATCTGAGATGCTCTGGGGTATCCAAAGGGCTCGTGTGCAGCAGGCTAATACCACAAAAGATCTACAGGAAACCCACAATTTCTGAAGGCCAGGTGGAAAATGCCAGGGCACCCCCAAGTGCACAGTGATTTGTGTGCAACCCTACTGACCCTCACACATTTCAGCCTGGAGTTGAAGCCCCTCACTGCAGCTGTCTACAATGTAGATACTTTCCCTTTATGGTCAAAGAAGAGAGACATTTCCAGAGGATGAGTCACATCACTCCCCTCCTCCCCACTGACCATATAAGCACGGACAGACTCAGATTAAAATATCCAACTTCCAGAGAGATAAGTTACGACAGGTGAATGCCTCTGTTCCCTCCAGTAATACACACAGACAAGACTCATCGGAATGAATCGATGGAAAGCATCCATCCTCAACCTCCCAGCTCACAGTTTTAAATTACTCTCACACAACAAACTATATAATATATCACATTTAGTCAGCTGAAAAAAATGTAACTGATGAGATAAATGTTATTCTCGTCAGGCTCCACCAGTTATCTTCTTCATCAAGAATGAAATGTCAGGAGACCTCACCAGAGGAGAAATCAGGAAGGTTCATTTCACTTGAGAAGAGCAACTGAGTGCTGAAAATCCTCCCAGAGAGACATGGGAACAGACAACCCCAGCAAGCAGAGGGACTGCAGTACAAAGTCTGTTTCTCCTCTTCACAGACAAGCTGATTTTATCAACTTGTTCTGAAATGACACAAAATGAAGTTAGGTGACGACAGTCCGGTTTAACACCTCAGGTGTAGCCAGATTCTTTCTTCCACAGAGCTTTGTGGAAAAATTACATAATATAAGCAGGCACTGCTGCATGAAAAAAAGCAACTGCACATCCCTGTCTCTTATCTGCCCCTATCTGGCCCTTCCCTGCCCTAAAACAAACTATAATGATACTGTCCAAGTCACAGGCTCAAGGAATAGGTGTAAATCAGTACTGAATAACAAGCCCATTTTTAGCCAGGAGCAGCTCCTCAGCTGACGTTATGGAATAGCCACATAACACTGGCACACAAAAGGAAACACTGCAGGAGTGAGAACAAACAGTCAGGGATGAGCAAGGTGAGCAGAACAGACTCCTATGCCAGCATCACTGCTTTTACCATGGTTATATATAGCACAAGGTGTGGAATAAATGCAGGAGATCTCATTTGTTGTAAAGCATTTCTTTACAACACTGCCAGATATTTATCTGCAAATCAGACTGTTTAAACAGGCTTTTATCAGCTATCTTCCATGAAGTGTGAGTTACACTAAAGGGTCATGGTCTACAAGGTAACCACACACTCACATCACTCTGACATTACAGTTATTGCCAAAACATCTGAAAAGAGCAGATGGTCACAGCATGCAACAAGGTGTGTCCCCTTATGGTCAATGGACAGAGAAATGCACTTCTTGGGAGTGCTTCAGCAAGCAGCTAAAGAAGATCAAACAGAACACCCTAAATGCACCTTTTCCCATCAGAAGAAAACCCTAAATGCACCTTTTCCCATCAGCGTGACAGACAGTCCCAGGGGCAACAGCTTAAGTGGATGTGCACATGCCATAGATGAGATTAATTTCACCTGGTTTAAGTCATGTGCTGTGCTTTCAAACCTTTACTCTGCAGGTACAGTGAAAAAGACAATCCAGCTAAATAATGTTTTATACGGACGCTTCCTTGTAAACCTCTCTTAGGAAGGATTTTAAAATCTGTGTCCAGGTAATAGACCCATTCAAATGAGCTATTATATATTTATTTCATGTTTGCCTAAAAAGTCTTGTACTGATACATATATTAGAGAAACTAATTTGTAGCAGAACTTACAAAAAGTTTAATTGGTTTCTATTTGTTGATCCATAATGAAAAATGCCTTAAAGGCAACAACAGCCATCATCACTTTTAGCTCCTGGAATAAAAAGTTCAATTACTGTGTGGATAATGTAATATGCAAAATGGAATAGGAATTGCAGAAATGGTACAGACAGTGTTGTCCTACCAAGGACCTTGACCTGGAGAGGCTGGGATTGATGATGAAGCATCTGCCACATCATGACAGAAATAACCAAAGCTGGTTAAGAAAGTGATCACTAACACAGGTCTGATGAAATATTTACCATAAACTGAACCACATCTTCAGGCTTGTGCTTTGCTGATTTGAAGGCAGCCAGTCGGGTAACGACGACAATGTGATACTCGACATGGCCAGACATCATCTTCCCACGGATTTCCTGGTATTCCGGCACGGACAAATCCAGCCCCGTGTGTGTATTCTGAATTGGCCTAGGGGAGAAAATACACAGAATTCAGGCACTGGCACAAAGATTTTTAGCTGTCCCTCTCTCAGTTACAAGCCCAAGAAAATCAATGCAAAAGCTCTCACTGGAACAGGACATCACACAGACCCTGCCCTCAACACCTCCTACTCTGTAACAAGACTAACTGGGACATGGCCTGTTTCCTATATTCCATCCCAAAGCACCTGCCAGGAGCCACTGCAGGCAGCATACCAGGAACACAACATTTCTGTGAAGAGATGTGGATTCATTCAGAATGGGAGAATGGGACTTCACTTGCAGGAGCTCAAAGTGCTCTCAGCCCAGTATGGCAGGTGAGAAGATCCAAAGATCTCTCGTCAGGTTTATTTTGAGACAAAGGTCTGTTCATAGTGACTCATGCTGAGCCCTACCCACCTCTCCTTTATCTAAAGACATTCCCAGAAATGACAGAGACAACAACTGAAAGGTGCCATGAAAGAAAGAAGGAGCTCCCTGGAGCACAGAACAACTTGAGGTTTGTGAAGAGCCAACCAGGGAAATGGATTAAAGCCAGAATACAAAGGAAGTGCTGGAGCAGACTGATGGGCCAAATGCAGTTTCCACTTGTGAAGGTCTTTGAGGAAAACTACCTGTCCTTTCATACCCAGTTAAAGTAGACAACCACAGCATTAACCTCTGAGAGCTGCCAGCAGTCATAACCACCCATGGCTCCTCCTGGAGGAAAATGCAACAGGGGAGCTGCTGCTGCAGTTTAATCAATGCATTTTTTTTTCCTCCTGACCGCTTCAGATCCACAGAACTGTGGTGCCACCCTCCCCCTGGAGCACCACCTGAAAATATTTATAACACGTTTTTCAAGAGGAATGCCAGGTCATATTAGAGTGCTCACATGTCAAGAGTAAGACCAAGCAGTTGCTGTTGGAGCATTGATCGGTACATTTAATGAAATAAACAGTCTGGTTCAACAGCCTGAAAACCAAAACTGATCAAAGATCCCTTCCCCAAAGTTACCCCATGCCAAGCCACAGACCACTTGCTGTCGCTGGGTATGCTGCCAGAATCAGAAGTTCACTGTCTGCAGCACTGAATATCCTCTGAACACATCTCTGAGTACATTCTTCCTATGTGTGAGTGAATGTTTTTTAGAGAAATCAGAAGGGACCACTTAAAAGAAAACTAAACTAGCATTATTAAACATTTTTTCTGCCTTTTTAAACTTTAACCACGAGGATTATCAAGTTCCATCTTCCCTGGATTTCGTACAGACTGCAGAGCTCTTGTGGAATTCTCAACCTCTTCCTTCAGGAAGTTTAGGAATCATTAACACAAGTGCCCTTTCACCTAAGGATACACAACGCATTGAACTTAATATACACTTTCAAGAGGTTTAAACAATCTAGGTTCAAACAATCTTTCAAAAGATTCCTCTCATCATGTCAAAACTTGATCAGTTCTTATGAAACTTGAGCTTCCCCAAGAAGACAATCTCTGAATCTCTAATCCAAAGCTCGAATAAAAAGCCTTTTAAAGAGAATATCTTGAGAGCTCCTGATAAATAGGATAACAATAAACAAGGACCCAGACTGTTTTGTACCCAATCCTCTTTGCAAGCCATATTTAAAGAATTAGGGCTTTAACAACAGCTCTACCATCTCCAGTGTTTTGATGATGCTGTTCTGTCTGCTCTGATTCTGTTCCCATGCTCTGGCAGTCAAGGACTTCACTCTACACATCCAGACAAGTTCTGTTCTCAGTTACAGGTGGTTGGCTCTAAAACACAGAACCAGTAGTGCCCATGTGTGAATACACAGGTGCCTGGCTTTCACACAGCAGCCTGTGGGACCTGGGAGTAACAACCATCAGCTGGAACTCTGCCTCTTTCAGCAGCAGCCAAAATGCTGACTCTAAGGGCACCTGCCAGTAACATCAGCTGGATCTGGACTTTTTTAGAATATACCTGCAGCAGAGGATATGCTCTTAGAAGAGACTTACAGCTCACAGAAGCCCTAAACACTATTAAGGTCACCAAAGGACTTTGCCCACTCTGGCAGACTGAACAATGAAGCAACTCCTCATGTGCAACCACCAATGCCTCCACCCCAAATCTGCCCCTGTGAGTTCCTGGAAATATGAACAGTAAATTAAGCCACATGATGGGGATTTGAGATAAGATAAAGAGAGTACTATTGTCCAAGTTATCTCAAGCTTAAGGAGAGGTAAACAAGAGCGGGGGAGAAGAGTGTAACACTGCAAGGAGTCCATGGAGAAGGCCAGCCTAGAACTGTGCTGAAGGTCAGCTCTGGATTGCAGGAAACCATAGTCCAATGACTCCAAAGAAGAGACACACTGAGCACAGGACATTCACACTCTGAGGCCTGAGGGTACTTATCCCTTCTGATGGGGCATAACAGGCTCAACTACACAGGACTGAGAGGCAGCTACCATGTCTTAAAAGGTGTCATAAACCAGAAAAGTCACCCAAAGCACCCCTAGATTTATTTCTGGGTCTTTCCATCAGAGGATTGTACATGATTCAGAGTGTAGCAAAAGACAGTGCAAAACTCCACCCTGAAGGGGACGTGCCTGGGCATACCTATTTATACCTGAATGTATAAATAACCCATCCCATTAAACTGTATGTTTTGTGGGACCCCTACCACCAAAAAGGGCGAAGAAGGACCAACAAAACAATGCTGGATCCGCAAGGCTAGTGATTATCTTTCTACTTAATTGTTCTCTCTCTGCCTTTCCCCCCATCCTGCATCTTTGTCTCCACACATTTCACTTAATAAAATCTGCATTATTGATTTTTAGCATATGATCTCATTTGCACATTAATTTGGGTAGAAGTATCTCTCTCTAATAATCACAATAATCAGATCTTAACAGCCCTCCAGATGTGCAGGCACTCAGGTTGTGACTGCAGCTATGGCAGCCAAAAGGTCTGCAATGACACCCAGGGAAGTGTGTGATTACCAGTCCTTGAAAGGATGTGTGGATGTGGCGCCTGGGAACAGGGTTTAGTGTGGACCTGGCAGTGCTAGGTTAATGCTTGGAGCTGATGATCTTAAAGGTCTTTTCCGTCTCAAATAGGTCTGTGATTCTACTTCTGTTAACACAGAGTATAAATGACTAATTAACCTGCTTTTCACCTCTAATAGAAATAAAAGGAGTAATGACCAGTGAACCATCCTCAATGGCATTTAGCAACCATGTACAGATGTTCTGAGATGACACTATGACAACTTCACTGTAAGAGCTGCTGCATCAGAGAGTTCTGAAACTGCAATGAAGTTAGTAAGTACTTTATCGATACCCAGGGTTTTTCTTTTAAAGTTGTTAGAAGTCTGTGCTAAAATGTCATGGAAAATTATTAGAGGGAGGGGGAATAGCTAAATTTTTGTTTGTTTGCTTTAGGCCTTATGATCATTTTTATTATTATCTCCTACAGGAAACCCAACCCTATTATCTTCTACAGCAATGGGATTTCTTTGTAAATATAAAACTGATTCTAAACAAACAGAAACCAGCAGGGAGGCTGAGACAAACAGAGCATACTATCCAAAGTGCTCTTTAGTTCTTGTAATGCCTTCAAAATAAGCAGCCCTAATGTTTTAACTAATTAAATACTGTTATTGTTATTCAAACAGAATCAGTACCTGCAAACCCCAAGACAGAATATAGTTTCACTGCATCTTTCACATTAAATCAATTATTTTTGCACTTGTATCTTAAAAAAAAAAAAAAAAGCAGCAAATGGAGAAAACTGGTTGTTTAACTTGGACACACAGGTTTATTGCTTCTACGCTTTATTTGAATCTAGCTTATCTCCAGTTTACACTTCTGTCTACAAAACAGAGTTCACCAGAGACGTGGGCACACAGATAACCATCCTAACAGGAATCACTTCACCCAAATACAAGGAGACCATTCATACCAGCAGCACTGCTGTGAATCAGAGCATTGCACAATCAGACCATGCAGGACTGGCCCAGAACAGAGGAAGTGCAGACTACAAAGGTCAGCTGAACTGAGCAGCTTCCACAGCTCATGGAAGAGCTGGGTGCTCACTCCTGGATTTTTGATTTGCATATAATCATTTAATTGTATTTTAATTAATCTGCTTTCTGTGCTGAAAGGCCAACATGGGGGATAGCTAATAGGCACCTCCAGAAAGAAAGTAAAACAGGAGATGCAAGTGCTGTGGACCAGAGAAACATTTATTCCAGCATCTGTATGGCCAGGACAGCAGAGTCTGTGCTTCCTGCCTTGATAAACTCAGCCCTGCCAGCAGCACCCAGCTCCAAAAACCTCTCTCCAGAGGGGACCAAATTGTGACCTCCCTGGTCATCACAGAAGGAGAAAAAAAAAATGTACAACTAGTTTTATTTATTAGGTGAAGGGAAAGTACTCACCAAATAGTTTATTTCTCTGTCTGGTCTAATTACAAGTATACAGATTTTATAGGCTCCCCAGAGAAGTGATCACAGCACCAAGCCTGACAGGGTTCAAGAAGTGTTTGGACAATGCTCTCAGGCACATGGTGTGATCCTCAGGATGTCCTGAACCGAGCCAGGAGTTGGACTCCATGATCCAACTCAGCATTGTCTGTGATTCCATGATTTATATTACCACAGCAACTAGGAATCCTATTCCCAAAACAAGTATGTGGGGAAAAAGAGTGGAAAAGGTCACAACTATACAGCTATTTCACCTCAGAAGCTAGAAAGTATGTCCACTTGCTAAAGTCTTAATCCCACACATGCATATGTACCCAATTTTATCACTGAAAGCATTGCAATTTCAGTGGGACAGTTTGCAAGTGGGTCTTTCAATCGAACAACTGTAAAATTAATCTAGGTGTTCCAATTTCCATTTCCAAGGTTAAACTTAATATAAAGTCAGTCCTACAAAACATCTGTTAGTCACATTAGATACATTTGAAGGTTCAAGGCCACTGCTTCAAGGAAAGTCCATCACTGATACAACCAAATATTTAAATATTAAAATAATGACTTTGAAGTTAAATCGACTGAAATACTCATTATTTATGTCCTAGGAGGTAAGAACCTTGCTGAATCAACACTTCTGCTTCTCACGTCTCATCTGACAGGAAACTGCTTTCATGTGGTCTCAAATATCTCAGAGATTAAAAAAAAAAAAAAGAGAGAGAAAGAGATCCATCAATTTCCCTATAAAAGATTGCCACCAGCATTTTCTTCTTGAGGTATTTCTCATCAGGATTTCTTTACCACACCTAGGAAGAAACAGGGTTTAACACTTAACGCAAAGGAGAAGAGCGCCCCTGCACCACGCAGGGGCAGCTTCCAGGAGGTGGGAAAGGAGAATAAACTCTTTTTCTGCCCGTCCCTGGGCTGCCGGCCAGCGGGGACACGGGGAGGGGATACAGGGCACAGCAGCGGGCACGGGCACCAGCCAAAGCACTGTGACACCGCCGCACACCGCAGGATAAATTCTTACTCCTGCCCACCCATCTCCAAACACTGACGAGGAAAAGATGTGTCCGGACAGCACCCAAAGCTGCGCCGGAGCGGACAGCAAAGGAGGCGGAGCGGTCACCAGAGGAGAAGGAGGGCACACAGGACGGGCCAGGGATCCCCCCGGCTGTGGAATGCAGGAAAACTGGTGAACATCTGACGTGCCCCGGGGCAAACCCACACAGCAGCACCCGGCTTCCTCTCAGCCTCCGCCGCTCCTTCCTTTGCTTCCCCTTCCCTTTCTCCTTGCCCGCACCCCCCCGGGCTGCCCCGCCGAGGCCGCAGCGGGCGCGGGGCGCTGCCCGGCCCGGCCCCTCACAGTACCTGCTGGTGGCCAGCACGGCCGGCGCCGCGCCGCGCTGCTCCATGGCCGCGGGAGGAGGTCCCGCCTCTCTTCCCGGGGCCGGACCCGCCGTCCTGCCGGATGTCAGGCGCCGCCGGCTCCGGTGCAAAACCAGCGGGGGGAAGAAAACGTCCGGCACGGGGAGGAAAAGAGAAACGCGGCTCGTAGTCGGCAGGATTCGAACCTGCGCGGGGAGACCCCAATGGATTTCTAGTCCATCGCCTTAACCACTCGGCCACGACTACACCGACGGGCTGGAGTGCTGCCGCGTGAGCCCCACTAACTTATCCCGCAAGTCCTCCCGGACCCAAACTTCCCGCAGCTGCCCCCAAACTCCGGTGAATCCCCGGTGCTTCTCTTCCTCCTCACGGGAAACAGCTCGCACGCACTCCCGCTGACACAGTGGGGTCGGCGCTGCATCCCGAGGCACGGCCACCCCCGCAGCCCGGCCACACGCCTCGGAGCGGCTGCGTGTTCCCAAGATTATTTTGGGAAAGAGGGAAGCAGCCAGTCCTTGTGCTGCCTCTGGGGCACCCGCGGCTCGGCTGGGCTGCCCGGGTTTGTTTGCGGGCTGCTGGGCATACCTGGGCCCTTGGGTATCCCGAGGCCTCTCTGCGCTGCCGGGCACGGCTCCTGCAGGAAGAAAGGCTTGGGAAAAAAAGCTTCGCAGCGGGCACAGCTTTGTGGAACACGGAATTACAAGTTGTTATGGTTGGAAAAGACCTCTAAGATCATAGGATCTGATCGTTTACCCATTCACCATGTTCACCACTAAACCATAACCCGAAGTGCTGCAGCCACATGTTTATTTGAACACTTCCAGAGACAGCAATTTCACAACTTCCCCGAACAGCCTATCCCAATGCCTGACCACCCTTTCAGTGTAGAATTTTTTCTCCTAATACTAATTTAAACCTCTTTAGGTGCAACACGAGGCTCTGTCTTCATCGGTCACTTGTTACTTGGGAGAAGAGACCCCCGCCTGGCTGCATCCTCCTTTCAGGTGGTTGTAGAGAGTGATGAGGTTCCCCCCTGAGCCTCCTTTTCTCCAGGTTAAAGACCACCAGCTCCCTCAGCTGCTCCTCATCACATTTGTGCTCCAGACCCTTCTCACCAGCTCTGCTGTCCTTCTCTGGACAGGCAAAAACCACAGCCAGGGAATATTATAAAAGTGATAAAAAACAGATGCTGACACTGCATCTGTGCAACCAGCCTCCAAACAGGCTCAGCACCTCAACTGGGTATGCAGCAGTGTCCCCAGAGAGGAGCAGCCCTTGAAAGAGGACCTAGTGAGTAGAGTGAGACTTTTCACCCTGGAGGAGTTTGGGAGTGATGGAAATGTCAAAATCAAGAGTGATCCAAAGTGGCAGACACAAAACAATCTTTTGATGCTTGTGGTGAAACAAGAAATCTGGAACATGAGACCTATGAGTCAAAAGAAAAGGGAGACTTCATAGGTGGGGTTCCTTCCTAAATCCCCATTGTTTTCTCTCCCTGCCACTACAAACCTTTCGTTAAGCAGAGTGTAGACACCACCACCCAGCTGCAGCCTTTCTGGCATAGGAGCTGCAGTTTCCAGAAATACTGCAAGTCACCAGAAAGTGCTTTTGGAACATTAATTGTTCTCATGTGGCCTCTGAAGGGTTAAAAAGCCCTGGGGTTGAGCTCCTGAAAGCTTATAATGAATAGCTTTATGGCTAAACAAATTGCTTCTCTAATGGCATTTTTATTCCCATTTGACTTCCTGGATAATGCAATTTATCCAGATAGTAACAAGGAGTAAGCAGCTGGCAGTTTGCTATCTGAGACAGCAAAAATAGAGCAGGACCTGAGCCCACGAGCTCCCACTGAAGCTTGTCATGCTCACTGAGCAGTGTCCTTCCAGATGTTGCCAAGTGCCTCTGAAGAGGCTTCAAAAGCTAGGGATTTTCTCCCTAAACAGAAGTGTCTGCTTGGCCCTGGTGAGCTGCCACTCTCTGTCCTGGAGAGGCTGTGTATGCTGTGTCTGTGCACTCATAGAGAAATCTGAGCACTGCCTGTTTACCTGATTTCCTAACAAGTCTTGTCATACATGGCACTTTTATAACTCCACAGCCCATATCATCATAACATATGAATAAAACAAGTGCCCCAGTGGTGCTAACCTCTGAAGTTGTGGAAATAATCAGCTGATTTTCCCATAAGGTTAGGGCAGGGTCTTTGTTCAGATGGCAACTGTGAAGAGTGAACCTCTGCATCAAAGGTGGACACAGATCAAACCTGTCAGTAGAAAACTAACATGCCAATAGAGCTATCTGCAGGAGCTAAGCATCAATTTTCCTCTTTGAAAAGCAAGCTCCCAGAATACTCGAAGTTTGATTCCCATGTTGCTTTGGATGCTACACAGAAAATTTCTTCCACTTAACCAATTTTTTTACTCAATTATCCACTGGAAACCCACAGGGGAAAGCCTATGGGAGAAAGTGTTGTCATTATATTACAAGGGTTCTATTATCATTACATTACAAAGACCCCATATTGCTAGAGTTCCATACCTCCTTGATGTTTCTTGTAGGCAGCTCCTCCAGGCCCTGACTCTCCCTTGCCCTCACAGCAGCAACTGACTCCAGTTCCCCTCAGCCAACCAATCCACTCTTTTATAACACTCTGCTGATTGGCTGCAGCTGCGGCCTGTTAACATCAGGCCTGCTCCGAATCCTTTGTAATTGGCTCAGCTGCAACTCTTTAGGGGGTAAGATTACATTCTATACTTTCTTTATTTATTATAGTCTATCCCCCTACAAGTATGTCCAAAGAATTTGAGGACCAATATTAATAATAATCATCGCTTATAAACTTACATTTTCCTACCTACTACCTGGGTTACCCTCAGCTTTTTCTTTCTCTTTCGTGGTCCCTTCTCCCTCAGTTAAATTTTCTATGAACAAAGGAAAGATAAAGAAACTCTGAAGTTTCAGGACTATTTTATTTGGGATTTATGGCTTTTTTCCCTGCCTCTTAGCTCTGCAGTATTGACTGGTATGGTATGTTGCTTAACTTATTTTTATCCATTCTTTTTCTGGTTTTTTCCGCTTTCTTTTCATACCCTCAACAAACTCAATCAGCATATTCATGCAGTCTGTATTTACTAGCCTAATTTATGCATAGCCTCTGTAGCAAAACTATTAATTAATTTGCATAGAATGACTGCCTAAATAGAAATGCACGTTATTTTACTGCAGGTATGTGTGGTACTGTACTAGACCCTCTGTGTTTTCTGCATAAATGAGGCAAGGCCAAAGATGACTGCTCCAAGTGAGAGAAGATACTCCAAGAAAAGGTAAGTCCGATTTCTGTGAAAAACTTCTAGAAAGTGAAGAAAGAGTGGGAGACAAGCAGTTAAGCACAATAGGAGGTTGAAGGAGGTTTTTGTTGTCTTCCAGATGTCTGAGCATTAGGAAGTGTCCTTGTAAGAGGAACTCATGCTGAAAATGGTATTGTCCAGGAAGGCTAAGATATCTCTCCCAACACAGAGGTGATGGAGAAGCCAGGTTTTAAACAAAGAGTTTTTGGGGAGAGCATATAACCTCTTTAACTAGAGGTGTTGCTGTTTCATGAGTCAAGTGTCTGTTTCTGGTTTTACTACCACCACCATAAAAAAATCTTTTAGCTGTCATTTCACAGAATCAAAAGGAAAATGAGTTATTCTTAGAACTCAAAACTCAGATACCTACTATAAGTAAATCCCAACTGCACTACAATATCCTTATAAATGTAATGATTTTGGGACACCTTTTGAACATTTGGGTTCAGCAGTATGGTTCTGCTGGTCTGGGAATCCCTACTACATAACTATTTTATGGCTTGTGTCCTGAGCTGACTTTTTGATAACCTTGGATTTTCACACTGACATAGTCTAGGTCTCCACTTTACCCAGTTGCTTATCACTTTGTGCTATGAAACAAGAATATTTTCCCTCAGAGCTGCTATGTCCAGCACTGGTAGGGCTTTCAGAGCAAAGGGCTCCTGAGGCTCAGCAGCAGCTGGGAAATGAGTTTATATAATTTTCCCCCACTTCTTTCTTCCCTTCCACGACCAATATTTCTACTCTCCTTCCACAGTACCTCTCCTCTTCTCACTGCTGACTACACACAAGAGCAGGAACTGCAGGTGTTTCCTTCAACACAAGGAAAAGCACTGAAAAAGAGTGGAAAAGGGGTGGAGGTAGTTCTTGTGCTTGTGAGTCAGCCCTTCCCAGGTGAGGTGGGCATTGCTTGCCACCCTGCACTGCTCTCTCATCACACCTCTGCCCTGAAGTGTCACAGATCAGGGACACCTGGCTTTGAGCCCCCCTCCCAAATCCTGCTCCCAGACGCTTGGCACAGGCCCATGGTGTGTGGGTATTACAGTCCCAATGCTCAGACATTCAGCTGAGAGTGTTTAGGCTCAGGGACAACAGCACATCAGTTTTGTTCGCCTCTGATCCGTTTTCTGTCCACTAGAGAGCACTCAAATACCACCAATGGACACGGGATGGGCACTGGTGCTGACTGCAGGCCCCAGCTGTGTCTCAACGGGCTGGTTTTGCATGCAGCAAAGTTAATTTGCTTCATAGCATCTGCTAAACCGTGGCACTCCCCCTTTGGGAGCCCACTGCCCACCCCTATTGGGCACCATTCACTCACACACACAATCCCACCAGCTCCAGGGTCACCCTCAGCTCATGCTCACAACCAGGTACACTGGGATTTTCTACAGAGCTAAAGTCAGTCAGAGATGTGTTTGCAGTTAGGACTGATGTCTGTATTTACTTTTGATACACAAATAGTTCACTTTCACTGACACACTGCCCAGAGGGGTTTGCTCAGCCACCAGCCTCAGCATGGATGAAGGTGGACCTAGTGGTGTGAAAAAGGGGAATAATCACCACCTGTGCTCAAGAACTGCTCACCAGCCATCTCCAGCAGGCACTGAGGTCCCACAAAGGGTTAAAGCAAGGAAGAAAAACCTCTCAGAGCCTGTTAGAATATTGACTGATTTGTGGCTGGGGTCTGTTCATTC